TTGTTATGCGAAAATCTTTTATGTTTGTCCTACGCGTTGGTCTCGGGTAAGCTATTTAGGGCTGAACATTGTTATGCGACAGTCATTTCAAATTTTGAAAGTGCGTCCTTTCAAGGGGGGCGGCGTTGTATCGTAACTTTGTTTCCCGCGTCATTTATATTTCCCGCGCGCGATTCTTCCCGGGATCTCCCGAGCGCTATCAGAGAAAGTGTCTCCGCCAATCGTATCGGTTCCCTCGCGTACCGCGTGGCAAGCCATTGGCGAATGAGTTCGTTGCCCCTCCACCGCGACGGCAACGTACAGCAGGCAGACAGTCGCACGCTAGTCGTTACCAGTGAGTACAAGAGTGTCTCTGAGAGTGTGTGCGTGCGTTCATGCGTGCGAGCGGATCGAGCGTATCTTCTTTGTGTTATCGCCACGATATCTCAATAAAACTTATTAAACTAAAATCCGAGCAAGTCAATCGCCTTACTCGACCACGCCCGATCTCTGAGACGAGACCAGAGATTACCTGCGTGGAGGCCACAAGGCCTGCAAGAAACAAAGATAATGGCCGCAACCATAGACTTCTATAGACGGAGCATTAGCTACGACTCTGGACAAGAGGGGTCTGATATTCGGGGCGCGGGAGGCACTCATCTGACATCGACTCTTTCCGGTGAGATTCGGTAATATTCGGTTCACATTTCCAATACGTGTGCACACGTATATACGGCGCGTTGCTTGTATGCGAGCGTGCGCGCGCGCGTGGCCGAACGGATCATCCCCACTCCAAGTTGGAGGGGATGATTGGAGGGGACGTGTGCACACGTATTGGAAATGTGAACCGAATATTACCGAATCTCACCGGAAAGAGTCGAAGTCAGACGAGTGATCCCCTTACCGCGATTATCAGTTACCCCTCGTACAAAGGCTCCGTCTATAGAAGTCTATGGCCGCAACAGTGTTAACGTTGAAGTACAATTGAGTCCCGATTATCCGAGTTAATGTGGATCAGGACCATCTCGGAAAATCAATTCGGATAAACTGGAAAGGAAAAATAAAAAGTAACAAAACGCATTTATCATGTATCATTTCACATTCGGTGAATAAGGATAAAATGATACATAGAATCGTCTAGTTGCTAAAACATGCGCGGTAAGAGGGTAACAGTTCTGATTAAAAAATACTTTCAATCCATTTTTGCATAAAGATATTATTAAAACGTTTTTATTAATATTAAAATTGATAATTAAAAGAATTCTTGGAGATTTAAAATTTTATTTTTGATAGTCAAAAAAATTAACTTAAAAAATCATCTTGGTCAAATCGGAACTCGGACGACGGCGAAACGGGGGGCACTGTCATGACAGTTATTTCATTTTACAATTTTCTTATGTGAAAGTACAACTAATATCAAATTGTAATCTAAAAAGGTGCTTCCTGGGTAGAAAATATCATGCTCATTGCAAAAAGCAATTATTGATTATTTCGGAGCTACGTGAACGCGGCCGTGGCAATGCTGAGACGCGCGGCGACTCACTCACGCACACTAGTAGACGCGTGGCTCACGAACGTGCGTCCGTTTAAAAAGCGATGCGGATTCGCTAATTTTTAAATAATAATAACTACTTTGTGAGGCGTGACTCGAAAAAATGGTTCAGGACTCTTCGACTCAGTTTTTCATGAGAAATATCACTATATAAATGGTGGGCGCGAATTAGAATACACCCTGTATACAACGAATTGGAACGTTTGCAAGACACAATACCTAAGTTTGTAACGTTAGAGGTGCATGACAAAATATTTTCAATACTGTAAGTATACATCGTTTCGTTTAATTATATAGTTTAATTATTTAACAAAGTTTTGACAGATATGTATGTTTGGTTTCAGAAAACAAATATATGTGAAGGAGATGGCAGTACCCATGAATGACTATATAACTACATTAACGGAAGTGCGTGGGGATATGCACGGATCGAAAACGAAGAAGGTAAAACCAGAGGAAGCCTCGTAAGCAATACGACAAAATGTTTTTTTTTCAACACTGTAAGTATACATAGTTTCGTTTAATTATGTAACAGAGTTGTGACAGATATGTACGTTTGTTTTCAGATGTAAGAGATGGCTGTACCCGTGAATGACTATATAAATAATATACATTATCGGATGTACGCAGCATGGAGCGAGATCGACAGACCCATCCTCATACACATGAAGAATAGAGATAAGGGGGGTCAACTTATATGGGCGGATGCGTCAGATTCTGAGCCCAAAAATGATCGTCACTGCTAGTACTAAATCCTAATCGAGATGTCGCTTCTGTTCCACGACAGCGTTTTCAGTGTTTTCACGTACACAGTGTGAGTGTATATTAGTAGAAAATAAACTTACGAAAATGGCAATGACAATTTGCGTTTTTCTGTTACTCATGAAGAATTTTATCCCGACTCATTGTCAGATCTATTTATCTCCTCCCGACTTCTGTTTATCAATAGTTTATCTACCGTAGCGCCGCCGGTGTACATATTTTGAACTACCATAGATACCGGGTTTTGGTCTCATTCTCGAAAGCATTAGTTGAGCCTCCTTATCTTTATTCTTCATGCTCATACATAAGCAACGCAAACTGTACGCCCTGTAATACACCAATCGTAACCCTATATTTCCTTCGTATTATACAGGGTGTGTCCTAATACCCGTATGTCCCGTAGATGGTGGATAGACCGGGGCAAACTGAATAGAAAAGTCCTATACTATTTTGAAAAATTCGCAATAGTTATCGAGAAATAAATTTTAATGTCTGAGCGAATGAAAGCGTAGACGGCGGCAGGCCGGACTCGGCAGGCAACGGTGGGGCATCATCTAATAGCGAGAAGTGGTGCGACGCGCCGAAAACAAGTTGTCACGCAGCGAGCGGCGAGCTTCAGTAAACACTCCCCGCTCGCCCCTCACCGCTCGCCCCTCGCCCCGCGTCGTTCGCCGCTCGACGCTCGGCTCTCGCCCCTTGCCCCTCACCCCTCGTCCTTTACATGTGGTCGAGCATTATCATAAAGCAATATGCATATTGCAGGTTGCTTAGAGCGTAATTGTTGTTCATTTCCTCCATCTGAGAACATTTTCCGGCATTAATGATTTTACCAGTACCGGGATTCTGTAACTTGCTATCGATGTTTTTCTGTATCGAAATTAACTAGCGACAGCAAAGATGTTAAAAACACAGCTTTCATAGGTTGGTTAACGATACCGAAAAGAAATTAATTTTAATGTCTGAGCGAATGAGAGCGTAGAAGGCGGCAGGCCGGACTCGGCAGACAACGGTGGGGCATCATCTAATAGCGAGAGGTGGAGCGGCGCGCCGAAAAAAGTTGTCAAAAAAGCTCGCCGCTCGCTACGTGACAACTTTGTTCGGCGCGCCGCTCCACCTCTCGCTATTAGATGATGCCCCACCGTTGCCTGCCGAGTCCGCCTGCCGCCTTCTACGCTCTCATTCGTTCAGACATTAAAATTAATTTCTCGATAACTATTGCGAATTTTGCAAAATGGTATAGGACTTTTCTATTCAGTTTGCCCCAGTCTATCTACCATCTACGGGGCATACGGGTATTAGGACACACCCTGTATACTTCTATGTATAAGCCATTATCTCCTAATCTTTTGAACGCAACAGTTATGTTAATAATATATATTTTTACGATTGGAAGGGGTGTGATAACGCAAATTGTACTACTACCTGTAATATCAAATGTAACCCTATACAGGGTGAGTCTTTCCATATCCGACAAAATTTTTGAGAAGGTAGAACGGATCGAGATGAACGGAAAAGTCCTGTACCATTTTGCAATTTTCGTAATAGTTAACGAGTAATTAATTATTAAAAATCGTTGTCTTAGGCTGGCCTACCGCCCAATTCGAGCGCGTGGCGAGATGTGCGCATAGCAATATCGATCGCCGGGCGGTCACATCTTGCCACACGCTCGAATT